AGCCGCGGACACACGTCGCACACGTGCGTGTGACCAGCACGGTGCGCTGCGGCGTCCTTCCGTCTGTCCGCCCGCCACCTCGGCCAGGCCGCTCCAGGGGACCAGGCCGCGCCTTTCGCAGACGGGACGGCCGGAGCGCCCCAGCCGGCCGTGGGGGGCGGGGAGGGGGGGACGCAAAGCTGGAGTGGGCGGCCTGCCGAGGGGACCAGGCGGCTCGGACTTTCTCAGGCCCGCCTGGCGCCTCCCCGGCGCGGACGGGGCTGTGCCTTTCCTGACCAGGACACAGGTGACAACGTCATCGCGCTGGCCAGGACTCTGCGGCACTTGCAGACAGGCGTCTCCGCGGGAGGAGGCACCTGGGGTCTCGGGATCACAGATCAGGTGACGCGCCCCACACAACCAGCGCAGCCCGGGGAAAGGCGGCTGCGCGGGGAGAGAACGGCCATCGGAGAGCCAGGCCGCTGGCGGGCTGGCCGGCCGGGGGCGCAGAAGGGGAGCGCGAAGCCTCAGGCGCTCGGGGCGCATCGCCCCGGAACGCAGACCGTTCTCGGGCCGTGAGCACTCACGGGGGTGACAGCGCCTCGCCCGCCCTGTTCCTGCGGCCGCAGAAACACGGGTCCCCTCACCCTGCTCCTCCGCCCACAGCCGCCGGCTTCTGCCAGGAGCCTGTTTCCTGGGTCTGTGTTTCCCCTTCACCTTCAGAAATTAGGCATCAGCAAAGCACCCCCTCTCCCCAGCAGACACAGGTCAACGAAACACGTTCCCCGTTTTTCACTTTTCCTTTTCCACTCAGCCGACATCAGCTCCCTCTCCAAGGGCAACGCTTTCTAGAGCGTTGCATCTCGAAGGAAAGGGGAAGCGACCCAACGTCTGGGTCCAGAGCCAGGGCCACGGCGGCTCTCAAGAAATGCACGGCTCTAACCTCACCCGACAGAGTCCTCTCTGGTCGCCTGGAAAGTGTGGCCGCCGAACACAGTTCCTGACACCTTCAAACTGCTCCTTTCAGCGCGCGCGGCCGGGTCGATCAGGGGAAGCCGCGAGCGCGTAACCAAGGACACTGAGGGGCGAGGGGCGTCGGGCTCCTTCTCAAACAGGAGAGGACCTGAGAGGCAGAAGTGCACTCGGGCTGTGTGGGACGCCTGTTCGAGGGGCCACGTGCCGTCCCCAGCGGGTGGCTGTGCCGGCAAACGCGCTTGGATGGCAGGGGCGGCTCACGGGCCTTCTGGGCGGACTTGCGAAGTCAGAGTTCAAGTGTAAACCCCCCCAGAGACCCCAGAGCCTCTCTTCGTCCCGCCGAGTCTCGTCGACGGCCAGCGCGGGTCTTCTGTAGCTGCGTCAACGAAGAGCTAAGCCCCGTCGCGCTGTCCTCCGTAGCGTCGGTCTCCCCAGGGTGCGGGGTGTTGCGGGTGTGGGGCGGGCCACATGTGTCACCAACTCCTGCTTCCTGCACCGCGATGGGTGGCACAGTGCCTCCCCCACCCACAGTCCCGTCCACCGGGACCTCCACACGCGACCTTATTTGGAGGCAGGGCCTTTGCACATAGAGTTGGTTAACATGAGGTCGCACCAGATAAGGGTGGGTTCTAAGCCCAATGACTGGTGTCCTCGTAAAGAAAGGACACAAAGACTGACAGACACTCCCTCGTGATGACAGAAGCACGGAGTGGAGGGAGGGGCCACACACGAGCAGATGCTGGGGCCACCAGGGGCCCGCGGGGGCGGGAAGGCCCTGGACCCCCGGAGCCTCCGGAGGGAGCGCGGCCCTGCCGGCACCTCGCTGTCGGACCTCCAGCCTCCGGAGCTGGGCGAGGGTACCTGCCTGCTGTTTCAGGCCTCCCGGTCGGGAGCCCCTGCAAATTGACCCAGCACTCAGAACAGGCCAGCGGCTGGTGGCCGTCCCCGCTGCCGCCGCACACGGCAGAGCTCCCAGGGTGGCTGGGTCCCAAGCCTTCCATCTCCCTGAGAGCCCTCCTACCTACGGGGGCAGATGCCGGGGGCCCCCGGGCCCCCTGCGGACCCTCCTTGGGCGGGAACGCCCTGGCCAGAGCTGGAGGCTCCCGGACAAAGGCTGCCCTGCTCAGTCCCAGCCACACAGAGCAGATGAACAAAGGACAGATGCCAACCAAGGGAAGCGGGGAGAGAGCCCACTGACAGGAAGGAGTTTCCCAAGGTCAAGTCCCCTGGTGGTTCGGGGCCGTCAGGCACAATCATCCCAGGAAATACGGGCCCCGGGGCCCTGGGAGTTTTGCTGTGACAAGGGGGTGACAGCTGCCCGGACACGTGGGGCAAGGGAGGGTGCTGGCATCACAGCGCCAGCACAGCAGCAACAGTGTCACCGGATCAGTTTCTTTGATGTGCAGGAGGAGAAAGGAAAAGACAGAGGCCTTTTGGGGACACAGCGCCTGGCCCCCAGCGAGCGCCTGAGCCCCAGCCGCGCTGTGGCATCTCGGGGTGCGGCGGTCGTCTCCTGCTTTTCCCCAGCTGAGCCCGTGCGCCCCGTCCCCTGGACACTCGCCAAGGGGGCTGGTTTGCAGATCCCTCCCTTGTGGAGGGAAAGGATGAGGTGTTTTCAATCGGCGCGGGCTTTTCGCCCGCAGCACTGGCTTGAACGACCGGCTGCTGCCCTAGGCTCCGCGCCACCATGGAGATCAGCCAGAGCCCAGAGCTCGGCAGCGACACCGGAAATGGCAGAGATGTGGCAGAGGGTGAAGGAACACAGGGCGGGGGACACGGGAAAGCGTGCTTTCACAGAAAAATGGGGGAGAAGAAAAGAAACAACGGCGAGCACTTCTCAGCCACACAAAAGCGCTTGTGGCTGCGGCACAAAAAGCGCTTTTAAATTTTAGAATTTAATCCTCACGTGAGGACATCCATCTAAGAAACATCAATCGGACGCCTTCCGTACCAGTGCCCAGCTGGGGACCGAACCCACAGCCTCTGGTGCGCAGGACGACGCTCCAAGCAGCTGAGCCACTGCCGGCTACGGTCAAACCTCAGGTTTCAGAGGCGATGCAGAATACAGCGCTAGCGCCCTGGGATGCGACCCTCCTCTCGCTCGGCTGCCCTTTCTGAGATGGCGTTTTTGAAGTTCTCACCATCTGTGCTGCTCTGCCAGAAATGGAAACATTAGACACGAGTGGTTTCCGAGGCCCTGCTATTTCAACCGCAAAATTTCCACCAATTCCACTTTCCCCTTTCCATTCACCAAGAAGGAATGGATGTAGCACAATGTGAGCTCCATAGATGTCTGTTGCATAGCAACTGACCAGGCGGGTGGGTGGATGGGTAGATGGACGGCTGAATGGATGGACAGATGGGGACGTGACCGTGGCCCTTCTGCCTGGCCTGCTGCATCAGCCCCCGTGCCTGGGGTCGCCCCCCGTCCTGGCCAGCGTCCCCCGAAGCTGCACGCCGACCTTCACAAAGGAGAGGCCAGTGGCTGCCCACGAGCCACCAGCAGCGCTCAGCCGAGGCCAGAGCCGCCCAACTCGGCAGCCGAGTTCTGAATCTTGGGCCTGTGGTGAATCCCAGGGAACAGGACCCGTTTTCTATTTGTGCGTGTCGCGGGCAGGACACTAGCACCCTCGGCCCGTGCAGAAGTCATCCGGGGCTCATTGCCACGAGGAGGAGGAAAGGAGGGGAGGACGTTCAGGACGGCGCTTCCACTCTAAGCACAGGACACAGGTCCGCCCAAAAGCTACCTTCAGCGGTTACAGGTTGGAAAAGAAGTTATAATGCCTGATTATTAAATAAAGAGAAACTGTGAACTTTGGTTCTGCTGCAAACTCTACTAACAGCTCAGGGCCCTTGGAGCCATTTGAGAGCTTCCCTTCTCAGTGATCCAGGAGTTACATTGTATACACAACTCCATTCAACAAGACCAAGAGTTACATTGTGATACATGACCCCCACTCAACTAAGAGTGACATTGTAACACAAGACTCCTCCCAACCAACCCAAGAGTTTCACTGTGATAAGTGACCCCACTCAAACATCCAACCCCTGCACTTTCCCAGCAACGGGAATTAAAGCCAAATGCAAGAAACCACCCCAAGTGAAGCTCCGCAGCCAAAGAGACACTAACAGTCAGAGGCGCGCGCTGTGCACAACCCAGGTCACCCGCCTTCTAGAGAAGCAAGAGGCTCAGACAGCACAGCGGATCCCGGGGCACAGGGTTTCGTTTGCAACACCCTTAACCCCGGCATCCAACTTGAGTGTGCCTGATAAATGCTCCCACAGGCTGTCCTAGAACGTCTGCACGAGTCAGAACGGTGCAGAGCAGTGCATCTGAGTATCTCCAGTGTGGAAAAGGGCACCAGGCTTATCGCCCCTGGGACCCACCAGCACCCTGCTAAGTCCCAGAATGTTGTCCTGTTCTCCGACGGGGCCCTGGAGACTGGTCGTGAAGGGAGCCACCGCCCCAGCTCCCGTGAGACCCCTGGGCCCTCCAGGCCAACGAAAGAAAAACACAAGGCGGTTTGATGGACTCCGGGACCCCGCCCAGGCCCAGGGGGCCGGTCCCCAGCAAGACTCTGTGGGTCCGTCTGCATTTTGAAGTGCGCCCATCGAAGCTCCCTGGGAACCCTCAGGGCAGAGCTGGTGGCTGGCGGCTGGTCACTCAGCACAGAGAGCCACTGTCCCCTCCATGTGCACTGCCCGCCCCCCTCCCCACCCCCGATGCCTTTCCCTGAAACCATCTTCGCTCGGTGCCGCACTGGGTCTGACACAGACATAGACAAAGACGACGAGAACAGGACCGCCCTGGGAACCAGTTCGGCAATATCCACAAAGAGGGATTCACACCGTTGACCCTAAGCAGTGTCCAAGGAGGCGCACGGAAAGTAGCTAAACCAACGCCATTCAAGTCTGTTTTCCTGTATAAACACAAGTATGGGGCGCACGGGAAGGAGCAGGCTCCAAAACGCCACGTGTTCGCGGACCCGGACCGCACTCCGAAGGGACGCCCCTCCCGGCGCCTTCCCCGCAGCCGGGCCCCTCACCATCGCCAGCGGGACGATGCCCACAAAGCTGGTCTGGCTGACGAAGATCTCGGAGACGGCCAGCTCGCTCATGGACTCCGCCGCCGGGTACTCCACCTGCCACGTGATCGCCTGGGCCCCGGCCAGCTCGCTGCTGTTGTCCACGCCGAAGTCCACTTGCAGGATCTCGGAGACGGAGCCGTTCGCTCTGGAAAACAAACACACATCGAAGGGTAACTTCAAACCCGAGGCTCAGCAGAAGGTCGAGAGCACCGTGAACGGCCACACTCCTCTTTGTCCACCAGAAGGAGCATCGCCAAGCTCGACAGGACCCACGGCAGCGCCGGCACAGCCCAACCCCCAGGCTGCCCGTGCGGGCTGGCGGGAGGCAGGCCGCCTTCTCTGAAGGACGAGGTCGGACGGCGCCTCCCCTCCACGCACCCTGCAGAGCGGTCCCCTTCCCCGTGCGCGCGCAGGCCACCCTCCCGGCGCCACCCCCAGCACTGCCCCTGAGCCCCCACCCCGCTCGGCCGTCACTCCAGCCGTGAGGCGCACCCCGGGTTCCAGCTCCTTCTACTTCTACGGGGGCTGTGCACTGACGGGCCTGTGGGTCAAACTCTCTGACCGTCAGGGTTTGGAGAGAACAGCGCTGACCTCGTGGGCCTCGTGAAACCAAGGACGCCAAGGGACCTCATAAACCATGAGTGACAAGAGAAAGTGTAATACTCGAGTCTTCATTTCGCCAGCTTGGCCCGCAGTGAGACGCAAGGTAAGAACCCCCCGCCTCGGCCCACGGAGCGTGGTCTGCAGGTGGGCCTGAGGGGTCTGAGGTGGGTGGGGCACACGGGGGTGAAAGAAGGCAAGGGTCACCGCTCTCGGGATTTTGACATACCGGGGCCTCTTGCTGTTGACGCAGACTTGGGAACCGAGGCTACCGCGGTGACGGGAGACACTGCAGGGCGTGGACGTAAAGCAAGCAGCCGCCCGGCAGGGGACTTGAGAACCGCCCTGTGCGGTCACCCTGTCTCCGTCACCCTGAACCCGGCTTTCCCCGGGCCCGAGGATTGTCACGGCACATTGACCACGTGGGCCGCGGCTCCCGGGGCCCGGCCGCGCTACCGGGCCTGCGCCCTCACCCCCAGCGGGCAGGTCTGCCTGGTCTGACACGGCACGGAGGCCGGCCCCGCCGCTGGGGCCCGGGCAGGGTCAGCAGTTCTGACCCCCCACTCTCAGCCGCGAGGAAAGAGCTTCGAAAAAGCGCCTGCTGCCTGCCCGACGGCCACGCCCTTCCACGGACAGCTCCCTCCCGCAGGGTCTCAGGGCCGGCGGGCACCCACGCCCGGCTGCCGCCTGGCTTCCGCCAACAGGCGCCCAGACAGCGACGGCGCGGCAGACCTGGCCTCCCGGGACTGAATTCCATGCAAAACAGACCCACGCCGGGCTCCCTACAGAAGCAGCAAGTCCAGCCTTTGCCCGCTTAGTGGAGCTTTTGGGAAACTTAGGTACCACCCGGTCCAATGCAATAGCCCCAAACCCCAAGTGGCTCTTTGCCTTCAAATGACATTTACTAAAAATTAAGTCAAATTAAAACTCAGTTCCTCCGTGGCACCAGCCGCATTTCAAGTGCCCAAGAGCCACACGGCGCTGTGGCAGCCACTTGGAGAGGGCAGGCGGACTGCGGGCTGAACTCACCCCGCGCCAGTCACCGCACCTCTCCCGCCTCGGCCTCCTCACCTGGGAAGCGTGGGCGACCACCTGCCCGCCTTCAGGGCACCGCGAGGATCACGCGAGGGAGCGGGTGTGCGCCTGCTCCACGCGTTGCTGAGAGCTGTGGACACAGGCTGTGACGATGCCGAAATCACGGCTCTGGAATATTCCACGGGCCCCCGCGGGCAAACGCAGCCAGGGGCCACCAGCTCCCGGGTGCGGGGGCGCGGCAGCCCGGCGTCCTCACGGGATGATCTGCGATGCCATTTTGCACGGGAAGAACATGTGTGCCGATAAGGTCCTGGCCTTGTGAGAGGACAGATGGGCGCAGGGGACCCCAACCAGGGGACCCCAGGGAACCTGGGCATCTTCAGTGAAAAGGCCGAGACGAGCTTAAGGGCTGGATGCTGCATTGTGAGGGCATTTCAGGACCGCCCGAGGGGCTTAGGCACTCAGGTCTCAGCTCCGGTCACCCGCTTCCCATCGGGCACCCTCTGAGGGCCCCTGTGTGGTCTCAGGAACCCCCTCACGGCCGCCTGCTGGGTCTCCTACAGAGGGCGCTCTTTCCTGTCAGGTCAGATCCGTGACTTCCCCTCGGGCGGGCGAGGCCCTGAGGGAAGGACGGGCAGCTCCCTCTGGCGTCCGCAGCCGGTCCCGCTCAGTCCGCCCTCTCTCGCGGGCCTAGGGCCGCCCGGTTCGGGGCGGAGGGGGCGGGGCCTGCGTGAAGCCCCTCCCCCCGCCTTCCAGGCCGCGAGCGGGGCCACCTGCAGGGCCTTGCCCAGCGCGGCGGTGGCAGCGGGATAACCGTCACGTCGGTGTCACTTTTATGTGTAAGGTTTTATTTCAAGTCATTTCCCTCAAACTGAGGCTGCGGGCCGTTACGTGTAGGCGGTTGGCATGCGTGCTAATGAGTCCATTTCTATGGAAATGGGCTTATAATCATTAACTCTACTTGTTCTCCATCTATACCTGGTATGCCTTTCAATCTTACAAAAGAGCTTCATTCTCTCGATGTGACAATGACCGAGCGAGGGTCGGGGTTCGGCCATGAGAGGCACGTCACCGCCAGACACCCCCCCAAGGTGGGGAAATGCGTGCGTGTCGCACACGCGTGTGCATGTGTCTGCACATGTGTGTGTGTTAGCAGGTGTCAGCTCGTCCCCTCTCAAGCCAGACACACAGCCTCCTCCCGAAAGGCCCTGCTTCCCGGCAGCCCTGGCCGTTAATCAACGCTGAGCCTCCCTCGGGGCCCCGGGACCCTGGGCCTGGGGCTCCAACGGCTTAGATGTGTCAGCAAGGATGGGGGTCGGAGGGAGGACCCAGCCCAGCGGCTCCTCCCCGGGAGCCACGTCCGGCAGCGTCTTAGGAGGCCGTGGCAGTTAACAGTGGATCTGAGGGATTTGGGGGGGGGGGTGATAGGGAGGGCGGAGGGAGGGAGAAATAAGGGGAAAAGGAGCAGAGAGTCCAAACACGTGGACTGTTCTCCAAGAAGCTGCTCCTTGGACGCAGGTTATTGTTCTCCCCACACGAGTCTCCTTCTAGAAATGAAGCGAGAGAGGCCATCTCCAGCCTCTGTTTTAGTTATGAGCCTATTTCTGGGCATTATTTTCAAAGGGACCGGAAACCAAGGTAAACACTGAGCGATGGTGACATCAGGCAATCGCCCCAGGACAGGACGGCTGGTGGCTCTCGGCAAATACCTGAGGCCGAGCTGGGCCGCGTCCCCGGCCCTGCGCGCTCTGGCAGACATGCTGCGCCTGCGCGGCAGCGGCTGGCACGGAGCCTGGAAAATGCCGAGCACAACGCGCATTTGCTGAACTCACTGACCCTGCTCCAGAGGGCGAGCCGGGCACCCTGCAAATTCGGGGCTGCTGTCCGCATTCTGGGAGACAAGAAGCCTGGCAGCTGAGCTGCGAGCCGCACCCTTCCATCCGGCTGCTGGGTGCCCGCCCTTGCTTTCTGCTCTGAGGAGGCGTTATCTGTCTCCGTACCAGACGGCCGTTCCGTTCTTTTTTGTAAAGGTTTCATTTTCCAGGGCGTTTTGGGTTCGCAGCAGAACTGAGGGGGAGGTGCGGAGGTGTCCCCGTCCCCGGGCTCCCCCCGCCCTCCGCGCAGCCCCCGCCGCCAGCGTCCCCACCGGACGGTGCACGTGGTGCCGCCGAGGCGCCCTCACGCACACGTCAGCGTCACGCAGGGCCCGCGGCGGACGCGGCGGCCCGGGCCTGGTGCCGGCCCCCTGCGCGCTGGCCGCACGGAGCGCGGCGGCCGTCCGTCGCCACGGCCCCCCCGGGAGAGCTCTCACTGCGCCAGGCCGCCTCTGCGCTCCGCCGGCGCGCCCCCCACCCCGCGCCCCGGCAACCCCGGAGCTCTGTGCTGGCCCCATAGCTCTGCCTGTTCCCGGTCGTCCCGCAGCCGGAGCCAGCCGCACGCGGCCACGCCGGGTGGCGTCCTTCGCGGGGCGGTGCGCGTCGACGGCCCCCCGCGCCCCTTCGTGGCTCGGTAGCTCGTTGCCGTCTAGCGCCCGATCACAAACGCTCCGTGGTCGGAGGGGACGGCGGCTCCTTTGTCCCTCACCTGCTGAAGGGCGTCTGGGTGTGTGGGAATAAGTGTTCAATTCCTCTGGGCAAGTGCCAGGGGGTACGACTGCTGGATAGGGGAACCTGAGCCCTTCAAAGGCCAAGGGCCGCTCAGCCCCATGGGGCGACTGTCCCCAAGACTCTCGGTGAGGCGTGGCGTCTACTGGGCGTCGTCAGGTGCTGGGCACGGAGAGTTCATGAGCGGTCACGGCAGAGGAGACCCTCTCCAGTCAGTCAGGCAAATAAGGTAGGTAGGTCCCGGTCAAGACCAAACTACCCTAGAAGTGAGAGAGAGGGATTATGTTTCTCTTTAAAAAGCTGAATAAACTTTTTCAATTTTTAAAAGTTGAAAAACAGTCTCCGGCTATTGCACCCTGAACAAGCCCGATCTAGTCTAAAAATTAAAAAACTATGTCTAAAATTTCAAATTGTCAATTCCAATTTGAAATAGGACATGAGTTGCCATGGAGACCGGGAAAGGGAGTGGAGGCGGCTGCAAGGAGCTGGCCTCTGGGCTGAGCCCTGAAGGCGCAGGAAGCCAGCAGGTCCCCCGCCAACATCTGTTTGCCTGTTTGCCGTGACAGGAGCCCATCTACCTGAAGCTTTAGAAAGACTCCCACGAGAGGTTTGCCCCAGGCCACCAGCAGGAACACAAGGTGCTCGGGACAAGAGCATTCACCCAGCGAGCGTCCTCTGCCCTCCCCGCTCAGAGTCCCCCCACTGAGAGCCCCCCCCACCCCGGGGCAGCGCTCTGACCAGGGCCCCGCCCGAGGTTTCCAGAGCTTTCTCCCGCTGACCGCGGAGGGAGGGGTGATGGCGGTGATCTTCGCCGGCCCTCCCTCCCTCCCTCCCTCCCTCTCTCCAGAAAGGAAGGCGGGGCCTCCACCGGTTTTGTTCACTACTGCGTGCCCAGCACTTACAACAC